AAAACTTGGACGTAACACTCAGCTTTCTTTTAAAAGTATTTTGGCCCCTATTAGCATTATAAGCCACACGGCCAATAACTGGAGCAGTGCAGTCAAGGCAATATATCAGGTTGTGGTATAGACCGGAAAGCGCAATGTCAACATTATTTGTGGTAAAATAAGTTTCCCATGGTAAACATTGAATAAGACTTCCAGTCCGTTTCCGTGTTTGTTGATCAAAATGTCTGCTCTGGTACATCAATGAAGCTTTAGAGTTCAATTGTATGGCGTTTAAAGAGTGAATAATACTCAATACAACTCTATGGTCACTCATAAAAAACTTGTAGTGACTCACATTTATCACGAGAAAACGACTGGTTTAATAAAAACAATTATTATTATAACCAACTGTACCAGTGTTTGTTTTAATGTGCTTTTGTTTGACTGTGCTAATGACAGCTATGTTGTGCTTCCATTCGTATTCTTACACTTTGATTGTGACTTCGCGCGAATTCGGTCACGTTCTGTAACCAAGCTTGTATCCTGGCACGATCTCGGTATCCTTTCGATACCACGAGATCGCCAGCGAATATATCTTGATTTGGTCCATTAACTGCCTTCTGATATTTGGCTTCTCGGGAATTTTATGGATTTATTTGGTTACGTTCAACCTTCGCCTTCTGATTTACTTGGCACGTGTTTCTTGGTAGCGGTGTTCATAGTTAGTCTCGACTCCACACCACGCTACAAACTCATGACTGGTATGCACTGAGATAGAGTCTATGTTGATTGTGAACCATCCTAACAGTATTATTCCCCCCTGGTTGGTTTTCGGACCTGTTGAACCCATTTACAAATTTCTAATGTTTCAACTAGATTGTTGATAGCCTATCAAATATATCTTCGAACCTCCTCGCTTCTGTCATTTGATTTCACTTTGTGGGTGAGATTCATATTTGAATGTGTTACTGGTTAGAGCGTTGTCAAACTCCAAATACTTGTAGCATCTTCAGGATAAACTGGCACCTCAGGATGATCTGACTCGTCTCCAAGGTTAGGTAGATGACAACGGTCTTAAATCTAACACTTCAAAGTGTATAGTAGTCCATCTGAGACATGTTGCAGACTACAGTTACAACTTAGAAAGCTCCTCTCTAGAAGTATCCCAAGTTGAGAAAGATTTAAGAGTGTTGGTACCCTATGGTCTGAAGTATTATACTAACTATGACAAAACTGCCTCCCGAGCAAACCCTGTACTGGTAACGTTGAAGAGCATTTTTAGCCAGTTTGACGGAAAAACTTTCCATATAATCTCCAACAGTTTCATTAGTCCCCATTTGGAGTACGGAACCACAGTACACGCGCTCTATTTAAAAGGACAGTGGTATTCTTTCTCGTTGAGTTAATTAACTGTTTTGATCGTAAATTACGCATCAAAACTACTGTTTACACTTTAATTGCATCTACCCCGTTAAAGTGATATTTTATTGAGTTTTTCGATTTTGCTTCTGTGTATTTATTGCATCGAAGCATACTTGGTCGACTTTTACTTGGTTTATTTAGTTAAGGTTTGAAAATCCTTCTACATATCCTGTTTTTGTCACCGTTCTAGTTGATTTTCAAGATGGCTAAGTCTACTTATAAATGTGGACAACCACACTGCTTATTTCCCGTGGATGAATGGATGCAATGGGATGAGTGTAATAAGTGGTTCCATAAGATGTGCATCCGATTAAGCCCCACTGCATATAAAAAATGTTCAAAGCCCAACTCTCATTGGCTTTGTAGTTTTTGTTGCTCGAGCAAAACATTGCTTATCCAGGAAGCAATTAGTCTCCTGGTGTTGGCTAATAAGAAAGTTGATGAGGGCTGTACTGATAACATTGGTACGGATGGCGAAGATTGCGTTAGTGTCATAAGTGCTATCACGGCACAAGCCAGACATCTACCTGTGCAACCCGCAGTTAATCGTTCTCCCCCGAAACGATCAGTGAGTGACACGTCATTAGACGTTGGTGGCCATATTGCTACAGCAGCAACCAGTGACCCAGATAAAACAATTACTGTCCCGAGTTGTTTTAATGTAGACGTTTCGACTGATGGAAAATGGATGACGCGAAAACGCAGAAGAGCAGGAAAGATAGCTAAAACTAATGACTGTTTACTTGGTAAGTCCTTGGTGGACTCTCAGACCAATCCGCCAAAGTCTCATAGTAAAGCTTCGTCTGACATTGTTGTGAGTCATTCGCTTGACTCCCAGGACTCTGTTACATAAAAACTAATCGTAAGATACCAGTAGTTAAAATACAGGATCTAACGTCACGGTCGAAAGCTGTGAAATCAATTTCAAAAGAAGCTAAACCCATCCCTAGTTTAATTATTTGGAATCTAGAGGAGTCGAAAGACAACGAGCCTGCTAAAAGACATGCACATGACCTGCAGTTAGTGGAGTCTGTGGTAAGGAATGTACTACCTGAAGAGGTTTCAGGGGTACATATTACAAAAGTAATACGACTTGGTAAATGGGTTGGAGGCGAGACCCAACCAAGAAGGATCCTGAAGCTGGTTCTCGGGAGTTTTGAAGAAAGAGACATATTATTGAAAAGCGCACTAAAAACTCGTGCCTCAAATATCCGTATTCGACCAGATTGGCCGCTTGAGGATCGAATCAAGTGGAAGAGTGCTCTTACGGAGTTGAGGACTCGCAAATTAAATGGCGAAAATAACCTTACCATTAAGGGTTTTTGGGTAGTCAGGTCTTGGAAGCCAATGCTCCCGAGGCCTGTATGGGTAGAACGATTGATTCCCAGAACACCTTATGTGTGTGCTACACGAACGCTCGTAGTCTTAGAAATAAAACGTCCGAGCTAAGTCTGATGGTGCAAGAATTATGTCCCGATATAATCGTTGTTACAGAAACTGGGCTCACCGTTGATATAGACTGTTCTCCTTTCATTGCTGGTTATATCTGTATCAGAAGTGATAGATTTTCAAGTCGCAAAGGGGGAGGTATAATATTATACGTTAGGGATCACTTTCGTATACAATCAACCATATCGGAGGCGGACGGGTTACATCCACGGTTGCTGTCATCTCTTGCGGACATTATTTCAAAACAGCTTGCGACACTCCTCAACATGTCCCTCTCACTCGCTCAACTCCCTAGAGATTGGAAGGACGCTATAGTTAGTCCTATATTTAAGGACGGTCAGCGACAGATAGTATCTAACTACCGGCCTGTCAGTCTAACTAGCATAGTCGTTAAGTTACTTGAAAAGATAATTCGGGTTAGGTTGCTAAGCCACATAGATTTACACAATCTGTCAGCTCCTGAGCAACACGGATTTCGTAACAAGCGTTCATGCTTGACTAACTTGCTTATTGCGAGGGAGGATTGGACAGCAGCCCTAGATCACGGTCTGTCTGTCGACGTGATATTCATAGATTTTAGCAAAGCGTTTGACAAGGTTTCACACGTAGCTCTTATGCAGAAGCTCACGAGCTTCGGAATAATAGGTACTGTACATGAGTGGATAGGAAATTTCTTATGTGACCGCAGACAGAGAGTTAGGGTCAATGGAACGCTATCCGATTGGAAGCCGGTCAAAAGTGGTGTACCCCAAGGAACCATCTTAGGCCCTCTGCTCTTCCTTCTCTACGTTAATGAGTTACCACTGTTACTTAGGTCGTCGACATTGTTGTTTGCGGATGATGTAAAAATCTGGAGAACAATAAAATGTGCGGCTGATCATGTGGATCTTCAAGCTGACTTAAACGATTTAGTTAGATGGGCTCGAGAGTGGGGCTTAGAAATCAATGCTAGGAAGAGTGTACTAATGCACGTCAGTCACGGTAATAGTTACCGTTACACTATTGAGGGTAAACCTCTTCCATGCGTTCAAGAGCATAAGGACTTAGGAGTAATATTAAGTCATGATTTAAAAACAACTGCGCATTGCAAAGCAGACGCTGTCAAAGGTTTTCGTACGTTATGGTCACTTCGCCGAGCGTTCACATCTTTTGACGAGGAAACGTTTCGAATTTTATATCCCATATATGTTAGACCACATTTAGAGTACTGTATCCAAGCAGCTAGCCCGTGTCTGGTAAAGGATACTAACTCCCTTGAGCGTGTCCAGCGTGTGGGAACGAAATTAGTGAAGGGTCTTTCTGGACTCCCTTACGATGAGCGCTTAAAACGCCTAAATCTTTTCCCCTTGTCGTATCTTAGGACATGAGGTGACCTTATACTGGCATTTCGTATCTTTAATTATGATTTGGATGTTAATATGTCTTATCTTTTTGCTCCCTCCAGCACTAATAATCTCCGAAGGTTCATAAACCACGATCTAATAAACTTAAAGTGGGATCCCATTTTTCTCATCGAGTAGTCAATCATTGGAACGCCTTACCCGAACAAGTGGTATCAGCCCCATCAGTGAATACTTTCAAGGAGAAGCTGGACCTTCACTGGAAAGCAACGTGTCAGGATTAACACAGGTTCATCAACCTACTATCCTTATTACTGAAGACTGAAGACTGAAGTATTTCCTCCCTCACTCCACAAGGATAAGGACACTCTGGAGCGTATCCCACGGCGAGCTAAAAATTATTTCGTGGACTCAAATTCAAACCTTATGAAGAGCGCCTCTGATCACTCAACATTTACTCATTAGAGCACAGGCGTATTAGAGGTGATCTAACGGCTTACAGCATCCTAAATAGTTCTGGGCATCCCCTTAAACACCTACTTAAGTTTATTTCCAACACAAATCTAAGGAGTAACACACAGAAACTAGAGACACAACACAACAGAACGGACTGTAGACACACCTTCTACTCCTTCAAAGTAGTCAAATGTTGGAGTTCACTTCCGGCTTCACCCTCTGGATGAATATTGCTAAGATCTTGTCTCTCTTTAGCCTTAGGTTCTCTCCAACTACACAGAAGTTGGTCTCAACAAACGAATAAATCACTCGTTTTGATGACCGAATTTAGGATTGAAACATAAAAATCCCTTCCTAAGACTGACCTTCGTAGGGCGGCCTTATGGAATTTTGGCTTCATCATGAGTTGCCTTGTCCTTGATAGGAAATCTGGTGGTTTCTCGTTCGAAAATTGTTACAGGTTTGTGGACACTCATCTCATATTCATGCTTAAACCAGGAATAAAGTCATCGAACAAAAAGGCTTTAAATTGCCCAAAGCAGTAAAGACTGGAACAACAATATGCGGAGTCGTTTTCAAGGTATTTATTAATAAATTTGATGAGTACTCCCTTAGAATGGAATAGTTCTAGGTGCAGATACACGGGCAACAGAAGGTAGCGTAGTTGCTGAGAAAAACTGCTCAAAAATTCATCGCATTGCAGAAAATATATAGTATGTAGTCCTAATTCAAATAACGATTTAGTTGCTGTGGAGCTGGAACTGCAGCCGACACTCAAATGGTTACACTGATGATTTCTTCGCAAGTCGAGCTTCACCGTTTGAATACGGGCAGGACTCCTCGTGTTATCTCTCCACTTCGTCTCCTTAAACGCTATCTTTATCAGTATCAGGTAGTCACTTTCCTGTATTATTTCGAATCTATAGGGTTATGTTGGTGCTGCACTCGTACTAGGTGGTGTGGACTCAACAGGCCCTCATTTGTATAGTATTGCACCGCATGGGTCAACGGATAAATTACCATATATCACAATGGGTAGTGGGAGTCTTGCGTGTATGTCTGTACTTGAATCAAGATTTAAATTTGACATGGAAGTAAGTTCATTTGTCCGTTTGGAATTTGGATATGTCCTAGCCTCAATACCTCTTTCTTACCCTACTTCCGTCATGAGAGAGCGTTACTACAGATGTTGGTTGTCTGATGCAAACCTCACTATCACCAGTCGTCCTCAACTGAACAACAGACCTTGTGAAGGCGATAGCTGCGTCTAAGAGTCTGCGACCTAGTTGAAAGCTAAGTACTTTAATCACCAAGCGACTCTTTCGTAGATGGATTCTTATGTACCTGTCAATGGAATTGCAGGAAGTTCACATTTCAAACTGTTTTATGCACAAACAGTCGAGTTTTTCTAATCTTACTAACATTCTATAACGTGAGATTCTAAAAAATAATTAAGTCTAATTCGAGGACTTAGTGGTTATGCACATGTTAGTTGTTATTAACGTCATGAGGGACATGTTCTTAAATTTCATTGAAATCATGAAAAGATCAGTGTTAGACCATCACTGAAGACCCGGAAACACTAGATGGCCGTTCTGTTGTACTATGGGACTCTTCAGTAGTACGCATGCGCGATCCCTTACGCGGGGTATGAACCCGAGACCGGTTTCACTCAAACGCTTTATCTCTAGACCACTAAGCCATTAAAACGGTTGGATGTAGGCTCAGTGGTCTAGAGATAAAGCGTCTGCGTGAAACCGGTCTCGGGTTTATACCCTGCGTAAGGGATCGCGGATGCGCGCTGCTGAGGAGTCCCATACTATGACGGAACGGCCATCCAGTGTTTCCGGGTTTTCAGTGTTGGTCTAACATTGATCGGTTCATGATTTCAACGAAATTCAACAGTCTCCACAACCTAAAACAGAGTTTTTGAATTGTCTTGTGGTCCACGTTTTCGGGTTATTGTTGTGTCAACAGTCATACTGTATATTTTGATTAAATTCGCTCTATGCTTGTAGGACAGATTTCCTCTTATTCTTCAATGACCCGGTGAATAATAAACGGCCGATACCGTACATGGATTATCATGAATTTATAGCTTGGAAACAATCAAACCATAAGCACCAAAAAAACGGAACAAAAGGTAAATAATAACAATGGGTAAGAAACAGTAGAGCATACAGCCACAATTAAGTAGTTCAACGTGAGACTGCAATACAGGGAATGTAAAAATATGATCTAATTGTTTAACAATTAGACAATGGAAATATAAACAATAATGTGTAAAGTAATCTCAACTTCAATACTCTCCGCTACTATTCTACCATACACACCTTCCTTGAGATTCGTTGGCGATCGGGTTTATTTTTCAACACATTAAAGACCTAGTCTGAGTTCCTAATGACTACCTGTAATAATAATGTTTAAATGCAAGTGTAACCGCTGGTTTATTGTGAAATGATCTATATGATTATTGTGTGTCAGATTGTTATGGGAGTAAATCATTTGAGTACATTAGCTACCTTACTCATCTTGGAAGTCATATTAACCCTGGTGGGATAGTGATTGACCAAATTTCGATACGTTCGGAAAGCTTTCTTGGTTTCTACCTACTCTCATCATTCATAATGTTGCCATTATTCCTGTCTGCCAACAAATGGGTGTGTATACTGTCCAGCAGTTCGCTTGGTATTATTTTATTTATTTATTATTTATTTGAACACATAAATATTGGTACACAAGGGCACCAAATACATATGCGCCACACAAAACAATGAGAAGGAAAAAAGTAAGGAGCGTAAAAAAACAATAACGTACAGATTAGTGTAAGGTAGTGTAATAATAATAATGGGGAAACAAAAAGGTACAATCAGAAGAAATCTTTCAGTTAAGGAAGAAACAACCACTTTTTATGAAGAAAGTAAAAGAAGGTTACGACAGGATCGCCACTGGCTTCTATTCTGAGACATCTGATAACGTCTCTAGCCACTGTGTCGCACCATCTCAAGGATCCCAACCAGGGAGTCGTGAAGGACCAACACAGGCTAGCTCTCTGTAGCTTTCTTTCATATCACGACACCATGTCATACACTGACCACCTCTCCGCTTTTTCCAACCAGTCTCAGCATCGGCAAATAATACACGGCGTGGAATTATCTGGGACGACATTCGTAGAAATGTCCAAGCCACCGAAGTCGATGTTTCAAGATGGTGACACCAATTGCATTATCATCTCTGTGCCCGAACACACGATGCCGAACCTCTGCATTAGTAACATGATGTTGCCACTGGATGTCAGAAATCCTTCGGAGACAGCGATGATCGAACAGAGAGTCGTCTAACGTCCTCAACTCGGAGAGACCAGGTTTCACAAGCATAGAGCAAAACTGCTCTCACCGACGCGTTGTAGATTCGACCTTTTACAACCAGACTAACATCACGAAGGCGCCAAAAATGACCCAGATTGGCATAAGCCGCTCTGGTTCTCACTATACGTGCATTGATCTCATCACTCACACCCCCACCAGCACTTATGCAGCTACCCAGATACACGAACATCTCGACTACTTCTATCTGCTCACCGTCCAGAGTGAGTACAGGATTAGAATCCTGACAGTCTTGTAGAAGTACTTTGCACTTCGAAGGTGCAAAGCACATACCGTACTTACGGACACTGATTGCCAACTGATTAAGTGCGGATTGCATGCCTTGGGCAGTATCGCACAGTAAGACAATATCATCCGCATACTCAAGGTCGAGAAGTCTTTCTCCAGGCAACAGATCCACTCCATCATTACTTACATTCATCAGAGCTGTTTCCAGAATGTCATCGATGGCAAAGTTGAAGAGGAATGGTGAGATTGGGCAACCCTGCCTAACCCCACTGCTCGAATGGAACAATGGAGAGAGGTGGTTGTATGCCCTCACTCTGCCTGAGGTGTTTGTATATAGGGCTTTTAGGATGTTAATAAACTTCTCAGGCACACCCTTCTTCAATAGACAATCCCAGAGAACAGTCCTATCCAACGAATCGAAGGCAGCCCTGATGTCAAGAAACACTACGATTGTTGACCTTTGATAAGTATGGCGGTGTTCTAACATTTGGCGGAGGGTGAAGATATGATCAATATATCCTCGACCGGAACGAAACCTAGCCTGCTCCTCGCGAGTCAATCTTTCTCGGGTTTTGAACAACCTACGAAGTATGACGGAAGCCAATAGCTTGGACGCAATCGGAAGTAGACTTATCCCTCGATAGTTGTTACAGGAACGGGGTGAACCCTTTTTAAAGATAGGGACAACTATCGACTCATTCCACGACGTTGGTACACTCTCTAGTTCCCAGACCTTTGTAAACAACGTCGTCAGTTGCTTAGTCAGAAAGTCACCACCATCTTTAAAGAGTCGAAGGTTAGTCATCTGGGGCAGGTGATTTGTAGCGCCTCAAGAGCTGGAGTTCCTTGCGGACTTCCGCCTCATTTGGTGGATCAGTCGTCACCGGCCATGAAGGGCAGGACAGTCTGACCGATGCTACCGGAGCAGCAGGTCAGTTGAACCGCCCTTCGAAAAATTCTGCCCATCGTCCAAGACGTCGATGGATGTTGGTGATTGGCATCCCGTCATCCTCACAGATTGTTTCGCTCACACTAGACTTCTTGCTGCCAGTGGTTCGAATGGATTGGAAGAGCTTCCGGTAGTTACCAGATGCACCTGCTGCTTCCAGCTCATTAGCACGCATCGACCACCAGGCTTCTCGGTCCTTACGCAAGCTTTGCCCAATTTCCTTACGTAACATCCTTCGTTTGTGGTTAAACTCACGGTCACTCGGAGTAGACCGACGGGCTTCGATGAGTTGTAAGGAACCAGAAGAAACCCAGTGCTTAAAAGCGGGACGTTTCGCAAACCCACAACTGACTGTTCCCGCCATTTTCATGGCGTCATGCAATTGCAACCAATGCTCATCTATATTTTTCGGTGGAGTGGTAGCTAGCTCGGTTCGATACTTACTAGCAACAGACATAGCCAGCCCTATCTGTTGTCTGGTCTGCATAAGTTTGCGAACGTTGAAGGCAGCCAGTTTGAATGGTGCATGTGGTTTCAGACAAACTGTTTCAGTACTCATATTCGGTGGTAGCACACAATTTTCAATCAGGCGGTGACTTGAGAACGTTAGATAGAGCCGAATTTCCACCATAGGCGAGCTGCTGTATAAGCCGGAAAATAAGGATACACAGTGGGAATAAAAGAAAGTGAATAAATGATGTAGTAAATAATAATAATGTGGATCATTTGATTGTTAATCGCAGCAAGAAGAGTATTTTCCATAAATATAGACAGTTCATCATGATTGTGTGTGGGCTGTGATACTGCCCGGGTGCCCAAACCGAAGCAGGTAGTTTTCTCAGGGAGCCACACCCCGAGCCTTCGACCTGAAGGTCTAATCCACAAGGCAGTGGAGCATCGTAAGGAGATGCAATCCCATGGAAGCCGGTGACCAACGATTGGTTCATACTTCATTTGTTCCCGCAGGATACTGGAGCCCATGTGCACCATTGGTTTGTGATCCGGTTAAAGCGCCGGACATTCGCTTTTCGTCCTCTCATTTTCGTAAACAACAGTAATGCCACGAGAAGACAGTGAGTAGGACTTCCCTGGCAGAGGATGTATACGTGTGACCGTGTGAGAGCATTTCGAGAGGGAGGGCGAGTCCACCCCACTCTCGGCCATACCAGGGCATTTAGGGGCTCGCTTGGTATTACTGTCAAACGAAAAGATATGGGTAGGCTGTAGGTTTTTCATCACAAATGTCCTCAAAGCAACGCTGAAGTTAAACATAGAGTACCAAGCAAAGATGGTAAATCGTCTTATGAGATTATGAGTCTGTTAGGTTTGAAGCTTCACAAGTTCACTTAATCTGCGAACGAGAACAAGACTCAGTGACCAAAGACCAGTAATCTAGCTATTGATGCATTCCTGCTCCGCTACCTAGAAGGAGAAGTCCAAGCTTGGTATGGAAAATATATTCTGCAAACAGTCAGAACACGAGCGAGCCCACAAACACAATTTAAAACGTATATATACAAATATATATAATCGATATTGTCATGGACAATTTTTAAACACTAATCAATGAGTTCATCAATTGACTGCTATTTAATCATTTAATCGATATGATATGAGTTTTGAGGATATATCGTCCCCAACAGAGTCTTCATCAATTAAAGTGATTGAAACATATATTATGTATCTCCAACCACTATCCACTTCATCGCACAGTATTAGCTGGTATAGCGTTAATTTAGAAAAAGCCCATAAAATTACCGACTATTGGACTGAGTCGTGTTGGTAGATGAAGACTATCTGATTGTGGTCTGGGAGATTATCTTAAACGATAGAAACTTGAGGTCATACTTTTTATTCCTCAAATTCGTTCTTCCTCGAATCATGTAATCTCTGGCTAATCTTTCTTACTACCATTGATACTATCCCTACTATGGAATTTGTCTTGATTTCATCTCTGTGCTTATATGGTGCGAGAATTAAAGCCATTCCACATATTTCCCAGGTTCTATGTTCCTTATGGCTATTTGACTAATTAGTGCAGTGATTACTAAACTAAGCACACTAACTTTATAAACAACTCTTCCTTACAGTGTTTTATCACTGTCAAATATTCATCATCTATCCAGAAATTGTCAGTGTTTTCGTTATTTTATGTTTCAAGAATAATTCAAATAATTAAGTGTAATACGACTGGACATATTTCCAATTTTCAGCAAGATGAAGCCGTAAAATTAGTACGTGATGGAATTGCAGCTGGGATATTCAATGATATGGGGTCTGGTAGTAATGTTGATATATGTATTATTACTAAAGATGGGACAACCTATATACGATCATATGATGAAGCTAATGTCAAAGGCAAGAGGTATGTATAATTTTCGTCTTTATTTGCTGCCATTTAAAAAAAGTTTCACTGTTTAAAAGTGTTTTCATTTCATGGGGCTTTTTGAATGGATTCTCTCCACATTACTCAAATTTGGTGTTAATAATTAAGCATCTCAACACCAACTGTAGACGGAAATATATCAAATATGTACGGCAGTTATAGATATTTGTATGGTAAAACTTTACCAGATCATTTTTGTTTAAATATATGACTCAGTATTATAAGTGTTGTCGATTATCATCCGTTAGGTTATTATTATTTATTTAAACACATAAACACTGTTAAAAACGGGTACTAAAATATTTATGCACCACACAACATTTGTATGGGAGTTGGGATACTGCCTGGTCGCCCAAACCGAAACAAGTGATTTTTTAGGGGGCCACTTCCCGAGCTTCTGACCTGAAGATCTAATCCACAAGTCGGTGGACCAAGGTTAAGATATACAGTCCTATGGTAGCCGGTGACCAAGAATAGGTTCATATGCCATTTGTTTCCTCAGCATCCTGAAATCTATATGCACGACTGGTTTGTAATTAAGGTCCCCCAACTCCCCTAGGTGAATCTTTCGTACCCACTGACTCGGTTTAAGCGCCGAACATTCACTTTGTGTCCTTCTAATTTCGTAAACAACATCCCTTCCTCGAGGAGGCAATGAGCAAGACTTCCTTGGCAGTGGCCATATGAGGATATTTCGAGAGGATGAGTGGACTCTTCTCACCCTTGGCCGCACCAGGCATTCGGGAGCATTGGACTATTCATATTCATCTAGTCAAGCGCAGGGGTTACAAAGTCACGTTTTGTACCCATTACAAGTTAAGTAATAATTCCAAGCTTGTGGCACACAAACCCCGTAGGTGGTAGTTGCTTTTTTGTATTTTTCAAATACCATCTAATGACTTTCCTTAGTTTTTCATATATAAACTTTATTCAAACATAAACGAATTGTGTATTTTCATGTTTCTTGTTAGGTGTTAGATTAACCCAGTCAACAAATATATTGGACTTTAATGTTTGGTTCCTGTTATTTATGTGTAACTTGCCATCTCACTAGATATACGTTCTACTTTTAATTCCTGTCAAAATATGAAACTAATTTGATTGGCAGCTAAAGTCCTCAACTATCCAAAACATAATGTCCACTTTATGGTCTAAGTAACTGGTGTTAACCACTTGAATGTTTAGATGTTTAGTTCATTAAGTTCTTTCATCTGCAACCAGTGTTTTGTCACCTGAGAAGTCCTTAGTACATACTCACAACTCTATTAATTATCTCTTGGTACAGATAGTATCATCTTTCTATAGATAATGACCAGTGAGCGCAGCGCAACCTTGTAAACTCAATGTTCTAATCTAAGTGGATAATTACCATCAGTTCTAATGTTCTTCGTATTCCATTTCATCAGAAATCAAATGAAGCACTAAAAAATTAACAATCTAAACCACTAAACAATTTTGCCATTTGACAGTCCAAATTTATATAACAGGTTGATAACCGTTTCGTAAAAACTTATGAAAATAGTAAATGAAATGAAATTCAAATCTAACGAAATAACATCCGAGTTTCGACTACTATATTTGCTAATGTTTCGCTACAAAACAAAGTAGACTTATCAGCTCTTACATTATAAAAGTTAGCATAAAATAATGTGACCAAATTATAGCTTTACATTATGGTGTCAACAAATTGTCATTTCTACATTTTATCAACCTTTATATCTTGCTATACTCAAAACTAGTTTCTTTACTTATTAATTTTTCAGAGCAGAAAAGTATAATCCTCCGGAAGGTACCACTTCTGTTCTCCACAAAAGTGTTCATCATGTTGAGTTCGATGTGGTCACAACACGTGTTGTTCGAGATATACCTGCTCATAGTGTTGAGACAATGGATCTTTCTTAAATGTATTTTAAATTTCGTCAAATGAATTGTGATTCCTACGTTGTTTGCTTTATCGGTTGTTCGAATAAATTCACCGTAAAGACTTTCCTTTTTGTTGTCGAAATGTTTTAACACAGTACAATATCCTTATTCTGTTTATTTTGAATTACTAATATGCAATCAACACCATTCAAATTCATTTTATAGTAAAGTCATGGAATAAAAGTACAAATATGTAACAATGGTCTAGTATTTATTAAGTAAACGTCAATACTTCCACTAGTTCTAGTACTCCTTATAGATTAGTTATCATTAATTTTACAGCTGATAGCGGTTTAGTTTTCTGGTCAGTTTACTGACTCGCCCTTCATTGATTCAGAATATCGGTAATTCAGGACATAGTAACGGTTGTTTATTATTATTAGTAGTATTAGTATTATTGTCAACTAGTTTTGATACGTTATTCGTTTTCCACCGTCAGATACTCATTAACATGGAACTCGACACCCATTGGGTTATATAAGCCATGGAATGTTGATTTCTCCAACTTTAAGCAGCTTGATTTAAAGTTCATTACGCCCGTATGTTGAGGTTAATTATTTTGTTACACGCACTCAGCATATATATATATATCCTAACTTGTCTCTCCACTCATCTGAGGTTACTTTTGTTGCTGACTTTATGTGCTTGTACATTAGTGTAAGAAAACTTGAAATTAATATACCAATACATCAAAGAGTCAGAACAATCCAATAATTATTTGGAAGAATACATTTAAACACAAAGAATGTGGGTTATCCCCTACACACGTATCGGCTCAAGTTACTCGCTTGACATCTATTTCCATAGAGCTTAAATTAGTTAAGGGAATAAAGATAATTTTAACAATGTTAGTTAAAACTAGGAAAATAACGTAAAATCCTTAAAATAATAGAAATACTCATGGTTTTAATGTAGAAATAACGAGTGCATGTGACGGTGACCAGTCTTAATTACTGTCAGTTATGGATTAAAATTATTACGTAGACAATACATAATAAATTAAAATCCTCCGACGCAGCTTAGACCAATGATCATTGACTCCATACATAAATCTAACTTTTTCCATACATACTTGAGTTGATCAGCATGACGCATTACTACTATCAATAGCTAGGCTACACATAGCAAGTTTCAAACATCTAAACTGGTGGAGGTATACAATTGCATTAACCGATTTTTTTTCCTACCTGAAGTACGTTCAGCTAGTTTTAAATAACTAAGAATAATGAAATTAGTGACATTTTAGTTTGTTATTCAAGTCTGAAAGAAAGCAGGCATTTGATTTAATGATACGTTTTGTAAATCAATTAATATTAAAACTAATAGAACAGGTTGAGAATATAGGTGTTCATATCACCAAAATCTCATCGATAAGCAAGTACTTCTAGCTTTCAGCATACTAAAACACAACTTCACCTGAGATGTCAACAGAAAAAACCCACTTATAAGGGAAATCTCCCTAATCTATGTCATAAATGTGCTGATAAGACTGTTCACTGACTTATGTAATAAGATGTTAAGAATTGATGGTTTAGTCTCTCAACTCCAAAACTATGGGTTGCACTACTAAACCTTCATCTACCTCTATTGTGGTAGGATAACAGTATTTTAAGCGTTGACACAATTCGTATGGTTCGGAGTTCATTGCACACACTGGTGTTTCATTAGTCATATTTGTGGAAGGTACTAGTTAATAACTGACAGTCGTTTTCGATTATTTCATCTGGTTTAATGAAGGACGTGGATTCGTCTTCATCGATTGGAGTTCATTGCACAAACGGTGATCAATTATTTACTTTTAAGTTTTTTTCACACAAATCAAGTGACTTGTGTGGCGTATATGTATTTAGTGCCCCTTTGTACCAATATTTATGTGTTCAAACAAATTATCTCTACCAGTAGATGAAAGGAGACGGTAGAGGTTTATAGATCAATCATAAGAATCTAGATCATACTAGAAAACATAGTTTGTATGTAAATTTAATAAAAAATAAAAGAATTATCCTTAGGTAGTGAGATCTGGCTGTATCATTGTCTGTACTTTTTTATGTAATTCTCACTTGACTGATTGTTATTTCATAGAATTAGGAATAATATTTCTATTCATTTGTGATTTTCATTCACCAAATTATTAAAACTTCTGTAAACTCTTCAAATCGCTCATAATTCATTACACAAACTAATTTGTCAGTCTTGGAGTTCCAAATAATTACTGTCCTACTCCCGTTATGTTTTCTATATTTATCTTACGCCTGCACATATGGTACTGATAATTATTGTTATTTCAGCTTTCTTCATCCACGAATATCTGTAGTTTAATATTATGTTATACTTCGATACGAAAACAGTTGTAAGCACGAAAGAAATGTTCATTTTATTCTGCATCAAGTGATGAGATATTCCAAAGACTCACTTCTGTTTGGGACTTGTGATGTCTAGAAATGTAATGAGAGCTTCATGACTAAACTATCCCTCCCAGAGATTTGATTTCACCGGAATCGAAATATTGTTAGACCTCATTGCCTAAGGGTAATTTTCCTCTATTTACTTTCCATATAAACTATATTTTCTATTGGAACAAGATCCCATCGCCTTTCTATCAACATTGAATCTGATTAGTTGTTGTTAACGTTCCTTCTGTCATTTTTTGCACATATATTTTGGTTGCTTTGTCCCCTGGACCTATTCTTACATGGCCTTATAGTTGTTAATACTTGTTCTAACTGGTTAATGAAGTGAGCCTATTTCAATGTGCTTAGTGATTTTGTTAACTAATCTAATTAGCAAAACATAAAAACTGAGCGGTCTTTGTGTTTCTGTTCACTATTTCAACGTTCTCCTGGTCAAGTCTTTGCCCATATTTGTCTACGTGTTTTAACATAATCATAGATATATGGTAACGTTTAACATTTAGTTGATGTTCATATTCGGGTCTCTATCAACTTCTGTTAAAAGCTATGCACAGGTGATAAGCAACCACAAGTAAATCTTTCTAATCCTACTCGACGTACGTGTTTTTTATGAACTGTTATCAAAGATCTTCATATATACCTAATTATATCTAATAAAATAGCATATAGCCTAAAAGATGTTGATATTTCCATTATTTAAATATTCTAAATACTTTGATCTTTTAATGCTATATATGGTATACATGTTTTTGGTTCATTAATGTTTGATTGCCCTTACATCCTAAGATAGTCTTGAAAACCGAATTAGTGTTGATATTAATCTCCCGAAAAAATATTTCTGATTCATAACTTATGGAACAAATACATAGCTTTGTTTCTGCATAAACTTTGAAATAAATTAAAGTCATAATTGTTCATTTTATTGGAATAACTGTATTTCTGTTGACCAGTTCACGCACCGTAGGTCCAATTGTCACCTAAATTCGTGTATTTGAACAATTGAACAAGTTGCAGTATGAATTAACTTTCAAATATTGTCTGATTATTTCGACTCTGTTGTTTGATCGATATGAGAATACGTCACTTTCCAGTATATTGTTATGACTCAGTAGTTTAGACATCTGTTTCGTACTCGAATAGGTCATCATATCTTTTGTTGCTTTTCATTGATTTTCAACTTCTTAGCTTTGTTATTAGTATCAATCCCTGCATACTTTCCAAACTAGTAACCTTGCTTTCTAAAAAGAATAAATACCGGGAAAATTTTCTTTTTTTTCACAATTTAAAGTTGTTGTATATATAATATCTTGAATTGTGCATCTCACCGTTAGTCAGTTCTGTTCAACAACTGCTTTTGTCTATCTATCTATATATTTTTTGCTCATTAACAGATAATTGAGTCAATAGTTTTGGAACTAGTACAGATGCTTTTGTGGAGGCTGTTGAATTTTGTAGTTTGCACCACGGACTCACTGTATCTAACTACACAACCAGTGGAAACTAAGAATTACGAGACAGCCTCTTCGTCCTAGTATGGAACTCCTCAACAGTGCCCAGCGACGAATTCACTAGGGGTCGAAGTTAGGACTAATGCTACCTATTGCAAAGCTGTTACCAGTGGATTTCATCTGCATCGGGAAGGAGGCAATCACTCACCAATGGTTTTGAATGATAATCGCTTAATATGGAAAATTGACTGAAGTTAGGAATGTAAACCGTTAGATACCTACTCAGTGGACCGAAGTTTACCACTTTCTGTGAGGCTTGAGGTTCCTAAGTACAACCACTAATAGGGTAGTAGGTACGCATTACTGCGGACTCCTGTACTTGGACGAAACGTCTGCTCAGTACTTCTTGGTTTTCTGTTGTCTAGCTACAATCAATCCATGATGTAAACCACGTAATCACTATACTCTACATATGTTTGAAGTTCATGTCCTAATATTACATTAATTATTATGTTTGGTCTCTGAATAGCAAAGAGTTTAGAACCAATTTAACCATAATACTTTACTCGTAGGATGCTTATACGAAATGCCTTTAAGATTAAATTTACGCTAAAGACTAATGTAACTTTCTATAAACTGATTATTATTATTATTATTATTATTATTATTATTATTATTACTATTATTATTATTATTAATAGAATGTCAACAGAAAAAGAATAAAATAGAAATTATTATTTTTATGGTTGTTTATACTGGATATTTGATTAGGTAAGTGATAGTTTTCGTTTTGTTTTGTTGTTTAAGAGGAAAAACACGACGAAAAACAAAAAAGGAGTAAGTTGATACTTGAAATAATTGGCTACACACGCATACAACGTAGTGCTGATTGAATAATGCGACTTTTTCTGTGGAAGAGAACCATACTTATACACAGACGAGGGTCAGTTTTTCTAGGTTACAAAACAGGTTTCATGTGTATTCACTTATTTTCAATGATAATAATAATAATAATTAAGCAACAGGTCAAATGTCAACATCAGTCGGAGAGTGTGAATAACTTGTGCTTGGGACAATAAATGGTAAGCTTTGCTTTGTTATATACGATGATTCTGGTTCTATTAATTCTGCAACTAAAAATCCACGTAAAATTGCTTCTCTGACAGACAATCGTTCAGTTTGGTCAGAGCTACTATCGCCTTTTTTACTTATCGGTGAATCAGTACTGAATGGTGACTCGTAAACAGAATGTGTAAACAACATTCGACCGGTTTCTTTGTCAATTAGACCAGCTCGTATTGCAGATGCAACGTCCAGATTAATTGGATTATGTTTGTTTTGACCTGCATCAGGTCTAATTGAATGTACTAGATACCTACTTCGTTGTATCTCTGGTGTTCTCCAAACTATTTTGGCATCCAATGATGGCTGCGCTTCTGTTGATATTCTATCACTAGCTAACCGAACTGCCTTAGAAATCACTGCATCTGCCAGTGGTATGGAAACTGTTGAATCTACTGATGATTGCCTAGGTCCAAGTTTTTCATAATCCCAGTATACTACTCTTAGTAGACCACGATAAAACGCTTCACTTGCGCTAACGATTTTGCTTGTTCCAGGTACTATTACTCCAGTTATTTTGAGTTCCAGCAGTTTCCCAGGACTATCAACCCAAACTTCATCTCGTATCTGATTACTTGTGTCGCTATCCCTACGGCGTTCTGTATCTCGTATTTCTGCTGGATGCCATGTCACCACCGAAAATTCTCTGTCTTCAATTTTCTGGCTCTGATTTATGCGAATTACTTCCTCATCACTTAGGTAAGTTGGTAGATATGTGCAGTTATTATCAGCTGTCATCTGCCCCACAAACCGAGTTTGTGATTGGGCGTCTTTTAATTGTGTTATTGGAAGTGTTTGAGGTTGTATTTGTGAATGAACGGTCACTGGGATACTAGCTTGACTCCCACATGTTGGACATATATAAGTCTGGACTGTATGTTCAATACTGAATGTCGATTGCTCTTGTGTAGTCTCTGTAAATGTGGTAGTGGCCAAATTAAATGGATGAGAAGTACGTGTCTGCATGCTTGTTATCCCGTGCTGACGATGGTGACTTGTCAGTTCTTCGGTAGTCGGCGACAGTGGACTTACTACCGAGCCACTACGCGTCGGTGGTGGCTGATTCGTTCCTCCAGAAATGAAGCTACGACCACGTTGTATCCGTTTATTTTTATGTGGAGGTCGAGTGGTAAGGAGAATATCACTAGTCTGTGTTCCCATGTTCTCAAGATTTCTGATTTGACTCACTAAGTTTCCCGTTGAAGTAAACTGTGTCTTCGCTTCAACTAGCCGTGATTTTTCTGCTGTATGTATACTTCGATCAAGACTAACTGAAAGCCCTGAGTATCTACCGATCGTTCTTAATCTAGAAAGCAAGTATTGCTCTCCCCAAACTTTCAGTAAATTCTGCAAACAGATTTCAGCATCAGTATATATGCCTGTCTCATGTTCATGCATTCCATGCAAATCGATATCCTGTGGGTGTGTTTCTCTCAGAAACCGTTCGTGGGCTACATGAGAGTCAAGTGAACTTCCTCTTTCCCTATAGTCCTCTGTAAGTAACTCTTCATGTACTACTCGACGATCTCCACGTTTTTGCATAGTTGTGACCTTCGTTGTTCTTGGTGCAATTGTTGTTTCTTCATCAAACTCTTCATCTAGGTTACTAGGTAAACTCGATGTCAATAAATCAGTGTGTTCGACAATTCTTTTGGCTACTGGACCTCGACGACAATAAGATGACAAACCTTTCCTAGCTATTGTCGTCACAACTCTTTTTATATAATAGTCATCTTCAATCGCATCAGTTTGTACACCTATATTTACTGGTGAATCGATAGTTAACTTATGTTTCGAAGATTCAGTGGTTTGCGTTACCCCAGTAAGTGTCACTGGTGCAAATTGTACTCCCCAACTTACAACATCTGGTTTTAAATATTGATACGGTGTCTTAGCCTTTCCATTTCCATTTCTGCTTGTTGATTCTGTATGAGCAAGCATATGAGTAGTTGGTCGTGCACTAACTGCAACTGAATTTTGTTGAGGTGAGTAACTTCCACTTGAATCTATTATTTGAGGATGTCTTATTTCATACTGAATATCTTGCAGAACATTTGATACTTGTGCTTCTGACCATGGTGGTTCTTTTAGTAACTTTATATTTCTCCTTTCAGACATCTGGGTATCATGATAGGATATTTGAGATTCTATAAGTCCTTTTTCAAAGGGCATAGTATCTACACACTTATCCGTAGTTAACTTTTCTAACTGAACAATTGTGGTCTTTTTCGAAATTTTTCCTATGCTATCCACTTCCCTACTTTCAGGTAATTGAATACTTCCCAACAAAAACGTATCAGTTTGGATATTCTTTGATTCACCCCTAGCTCTATAGCCGGACTCTCTGTATAGTTTCAGCACATCGGATGTGTCTGATGCTTTTGGCTTGTCAGGAATAGTTTCCATTTGGAGAATACGTGTAAAGTAATTTGATTTCACTGTACTGGATGCTGTTTGTTTTGTTCTTATTGATTTTTCTTCCGATTGCATATCTTTATCAATTGTTTTCTTATCATATCCCCGTGATATACACTTGAAACATTCAATATTTTTTAGTAAACACTCATCTGTTTGTGTTATCTCAGTTAATGAGGTTGACATTCCTTTGGAGATTGTGTCTTGAGGATGTGTAAATTCTTCTTCTACTTGTTCACCAAGTTTAGATGGGTAGACTTGTAGTTTTTTGTTCTTAACTTGTAAAGGTGATGGAGAAGTCTCACTTGGTCTTGTTTCTTGAGTCCCTGTATCTACTGTAACTACTGGTCGTATATTACTTGCCTGAACTCCAATACTTGATGACGAAGAAGTTTTATGATAGTCATAAAGACAACTGTCCTGTATAGTTTGAGAAGATGTATTTTTTAATGTAGAAAATGAGGAACCATACTGAAGTTTCTTTTGATATTGTTGAGGAGTTATTTTTACTTGGCACTCTTGATCTATTTTTATTTTTGGTATTGCTTGTGAAGTGTTTGTCACATTAGACGCTGAATCATGAACCACATGTGCATCCACTGATGAAACTATTGTTTTATCAACCTGTTCAATACTTATATCCTGGTATCTATAATCTGAAGTTTGTGTTCCTATAGAGGCTACATTTATTAGAGTCTTTGGTGATGAAGGCGATATTAGATTCACTTGGAATTTCTTGTTTCGTTGATCCACACGTACGTTTGTTGAAAAAGGCACATCTGTTTGAATGCTAACAACTCTGGACGTTACTGCATGACTAGTTAATGAAGGCTTCGTGAGTTCAGTATACTGACATGATACATCCGTATAACGAACTAAGGCAGTTTGAGTTAATTTACTGTCCAAGTGAACAGTAGACATAGTGTGATCTGTTTGGACTCCCAAATCAGTTGAGTCACAATGAACCTGAAGTTTCTTCCCTTTCAGAACAGTTCGTTCCTTCTCGTGTGTGACACTCATTTCTTTCATCTCAATTGGTGACCTTAAATCGACAGTCTGTGTCCCATCTATTGAATGCATTACTCCAGATTGAATTTGGACATCGTATGTAGTAGAAGATAACGTTGCTTGACAGAATGTATCAGCTAGTTTAGTAGGTGTGGTTTGTGTTGATTGTGAAGTGTTTGGAAGAGTATGCATAGTCGATGAGATTGTTGATCGAACAATGGGAGTAATTTGATCAGTTTGGACTCCCAAATCAGTTGAGTCACAACGAACCTGAAGTTTCTTCCCTTTCAGAACAGTTCGTTCCTTCTCGTGTGTGACACTCATTTCTTTCATCTCAATTGGTGACCTTAAATCGACAGTCTGTGTCCCATCTATTGAATGCATTACTCCAGATTGAATTTGGACATCGTATGTAGTAGAAGATAACGTTGCTTGACAGAATGTATCAGCTAGTTTAGTAGGTGTGGTTTGTGTTGATTGTGAAGTGTTTGGAAGAGTATGCATGGTCGATGAGATTGTTGATCGAACAATGGGAGTAATTTGATCAGTTTGGACTCCCAAATCAGTTGAGTCACAACGAACCTGAAGTTTCTTCCCTTTCAGAACAGTTCGTTCCTTCTCGTGTGTGACACTCATTTCTTTCATCTCAATTGGTGACCTTAAATCGACAGTCTGTGTCCCATCTATTGAATGCATTACTCCAGATTGAATTTGGACATCGTATGTAGTAGAAGATAACGTTGCTTGACAGAATGTATCAGCTAGTTTAGTAGGTGTGGTTTGTGTTGATTGTGAAGTGTTTGGAAGAGTATGCATGGTCGATGAGATTGTTGATCGAACAATGGGAGTAATTTGATCAGTTTGGACTCCCAAATCAGTTGAGTCACAACGAACCTGAAGTTTCTTCCCTTTCAGAACAGTTCGTTCCTTCTCGTGTGTGACACTCATTTCTTTCATCTCAATTGGTGACCTTAAATCGACAGTCTGTGTCCCATCTATTGAATGCATTACTCCAGATTGAATTTGGACATCGTATGTAGTAGAAGATAACGTTGCTTGACAGAATGTATCAGCTAGTTTAGTAGGTGTGGTTTGTGTTGATTGTGAAGTGTTTGGAAGAGTATGCATGGTCGATGAGATTGTTGATCGAACAATAGGCACAGTCTCAAAATGATCAACGCTCACATCAACATTATCGAATCGTGGTCGTTCCTCACTAATGGTCTGAACTGACTGTGCACAGTGGATAGTACCAGACTGAGTCACAACATCGAACGTGGTTTTCGGTAATACAGTAGGGACTTGAGTCATCGGATCAGTCTGTGTGCTTGTGTTGTCAACTGATTGACGCATTGTTGCCTGAACCTTCTTGCCTACTAATGAAGGTGATTTTTCACTATGAATCACACTGACGTCTGCAGTATGGAATACTGGTCGTTCCTCTGGAATGGTCTGAACTGACTGTGCACAGTGGATAGTACCAGACTGAGTCACAACATCGAACGTGGTTTTCGGTAATACAGTAGGGACTTGAGTCATCGGATCAGTCTGTGTGCTTGTGTTGTCAACTGATTGACGCATTGTTGCCTGAACCTTCTTGCCTACTAATGAAGGTGATTTTTCACTATGAATCACACTGACGTCTGCAGTATGGAATACTGGTCGTTCCTCTGGAATGGTCTGAACTGACTGTGCACAGTGGATAGTACCAGACTGAGTCACAACATCGAACGTGGTTTTCGGTAATACAGTAGGGACTTGAGTCATCGGATCAGTCTGTGTGCTTGTGTTGTCAACTGATTGACGCATTGTTGCCTGAACCTTCTTGCCTACTAATGAAGGTGATTTTTCACTATGAATCACACTGACGTCTGCAGTATGGAATACTGGTCGTTCCTCTGGAATGGTCTGAACTGACTGTGCACAGTGGATAGTACCAGACTGAGTCACAACATCGAACGTGGTTTTCGGTAATACAGTAGGGACTTGAGTCATCGGATCAGTCTGTGTGCTTGTGTTGTCAACTGATTGACGCATTGTTGCCTGAACGTTCTCGTATAACACGGGCTGCAATTTCCCAGTATGATCAACTCCTACACCGACAGTGTGGTATACCGGGCGTTCCTCTGGAATAGTCTGAACTGACTGTGCACAGTGTATAGTACCAGACTGAGTCACAACATCGAACGTGGTTTTCGGTAATACAGTAGGGACTTGAGTCATCGGATCAGTCTGTGTGCTTGTGTTGTCAACTGATTGACGCATTGTTGCCTGAACCTTCTTGCCTACTAATGAAGGTGATTTTTCACTATGAATCACACTGACGTCTGCAGTATGGAATACTGGTCGTTCCTCTGGAATGGTCTGAACTGACTGTGCACAGTGGATAGTACCAGACTGAGTCACAACATCGAACGTGGTTTTCGATAATACAGTAGGGACTTGAGTCATCGGATCAGTCTGTGTGCTTGTGTTGTCAACTGATTGACGCATTGTTGCCTGAACGTTCTCGTATAACACGGGCTGCAATTTCCCAGTATGATCAACTCCTACACCGACAGTGTGGTATACCGGGCGTTCCTCTGGAATAGTCTGAACTGACTGTGCACAGTGTATAGTACCAGACTGAGTCACAACATCGAACGTGGTTTTCGGTAATACAGTAGGGACTTGAGTCATCGGATCAGTCTGTGTGCTTGTGTTGTCAACTGATTGACGCATTGTTGCCTGAACCTTCTTGCCTACTAATGAAGGTGATTTTTCACTATGAATCACACTAACGTCTGCAGTATGGAATACTGGTCGTTCCTCTGGAATGGTCTGAACTGACTGTGCACAGTGGATAGTACCAGACTGAGTCACAACATCGAACGTGGTTTTCGGTAATACAGTAGGGACTTGAGTCATCGGATCAGTCTGTGTGCTTGTGTTGTCAACTGATTGACGCATTGTTGCCTGAACCTTCTTGCCTACTAATGAAGGTGATTTTTCACTATGAATCACACTGACGTCTGCAGTATGGAATACTGGTCGTTCCTCTGGAATGGTCTGAACTGACTGTGCACAGTGGATAGTACCAGACTGAGTCACAACATCGAACGTGGTTTTCGGTAATACAGTAGGGACTTGAGTCATCGGATCAGTCTGTGTGCTTGTGTTGTCAACTGATTGACGCATGTTTACCTGAAGTTTCTTGTTCACCAGTGAAGGTGATTTTTCACTATGAATCACACTGACGTCTGCAGTATGGAATACTGGTTGTTCTTCTAGAATAGTTTGTGTCGACTGTGTCTTGACTACCATCCCTGATTGTGCTTGTATATCAAATGTTTTTATATTGACCTTCAGCCATTCTGCTTGTGTTTGCTTATGTGCAACTTGCGGAGCTCGAGAAAACACCTGTGCAACGGGTTTGACAGGTTGTACGCTTACCTCTTCGGTTTGCAAACACACATCGTCAGATGGATGGTATACCACAGCTTGAAGTTTCTTGTTTACTGTTTGTACATGATGTGACTCATGAAATACACTCACATGCTTTATATCTGGGATTATTTTCTGTTCGTGTGGTGTTTGTGTTTCTGAATCTATCGTCAGTGATCCTGATTGTGTTTGCACATCAAATGTAGATTTTGTCGGTGTTGGATGTGCAGAGGTTCCTACTACTTCTGTTTGTATGACTACGTCTTTCATTTGAGACATTATTTTTGCTTGCAACTTCTTGTTAATTTGTCGATTTTTGAGTTCATGAGTTACACTAACGTCGGTCTTGTTCATTGTGGTGTGGACCTCTTCTAGTGTTTGTGCTCCCTGTTCTTTTTGAATGATTCCTGATTGTGTCTGTACATTCGTCTGGTGTTTCTGCCTGATATTTATCAGTTGACTTTCATCTGTTTGGACGTAAGTATTGGACACTGGATGTTGAGCATCTGCCTGAATATCTATATTTATCATTGTTCTTTGTACTGCCTCATACTGTGTACTAGTTTCTTTCGTCATTCCGAAAGTTTTATGCTCTAATTTTGTCTGCGATCCCTGTGATTTGCAAATGATTCCTGATTGTATTTCTACATCATTTGTTTGAGATTTGATTTGCGCGTAGGACTGACGATCAAAAAATTCTAGACTGTCAGTTTGTGATGATATTTCATGTGTCTGTACAGAGTGATGAATTCTTTGCATCGTGTGTACTGTTACGACTGGTATTGATTCGTATGTTTGCGCGGCTTCCTCTCGAACTGACTGGGAAATAGTTACTTGTAGCTTTTTATTTATTATTTGTGTAGTCGTTGGTGCGTGCTGAACACTTCCTTCTTTCGTAGTTGTTAAAGGTAAACTAAATGTTTGAGTTTCTTCCTGACGACAAAGTACGTCGAATTGAGCTTCTGCATTCCGAATATTAATTACACGTTTATCTTTTATCAGACACTGTATTTCAACGTTTTTACTTTCAACTTGTATGCTAGCTTGAACAGCTTTAGAGAAACAAGAATTGACCGATCTGACATAATCAACAGCAACATCTTTCATCAAAAAATCTTCCGATATAAGAACAGCTTGACAACCAACAGTAAGAGACAGAGTACCGGACTGAGTCACAACATCGAACGTGGTTTTCGGTAATACAGTAGGGACTTGAGTCATCGGATCAGTCTGTGTGCTTGTGTTGTCAACTGATTGACGCATTGTTGCCTGAACCTTCTTGCCTACTAATGAAGGTGATTTTTCACTATGAATCACACTGACGTCTGCAGTATGGAATACTGGTCGTTCCTCTGGAATGGTCTGAACTGACTGTGCACAGTGGATAGTACCAGACTGAGTCACAACATCGAACGTGGTTTTCGGTAATACAGTAGGGACTTGAGTCATCGGATCAGTCTGTGTGCTTGTGTTGTCAACTGATTGACGCATTGTTGCCTGAACGTTCTCGTATAACACGGGCTGCAATTTCCCAGTATGATCAACTCCTACACCGACAGTGTGGTATACCGGGCGTTCCTCTGGAATAGTCTGAACTGACTGTGCACAGTGTATAGTACCAGACTGAGTCACAACATCGAACGTGGTTTTCGGTAATACAGTAGGGACTTGAGTCATCGGATCAGTCTGTGTGCTTGTGTTGTCAACTGATTGACGCATTGTTGCCTGAACCTTCTTGCCTACTAATGAAGGTGATTTTTCACTATGAATCACACTGACGTCTGCAGTATGGAATACTGGTCGTTCCTCTGGAATGGTCTGAACTGACTGTGCACAGTGGATAGTACCAGACTGAGTCACAACATCGAACGTGGTTTTCGGTAATACAGTAGGGACTTGAGTCATCGGATCAGTCTGTGTGCTTGTGTTGTCAACTGATTGACGCATTGTTGCCTGAACGTTCTCGTATAACACGGGCTGCAATTTCCCAGTATGATCAACTCCTACACCGACAGTGTGGTATACCGGGCGTTCCTCTGGAATAGTCTGAACTGACTGTGCACAGTGTATAGTACCAGACTGAGTCACAACATCGAACGTGGTTTTCGGTAATACAGTAGGGACTTGAGTCATCGGATCAGTCTGTGTGCTTGTGTTGTCAACTGATTGACGCATTGTTGCCTGAACCTTCTTGCCTACTAATGAAGGTGATTTTTCACTATGAATCACACTGACGTCTGCAGTATGGAATACTGGTCGTTCCTCTGGAATGGTCTGAACTGACTGTGCACAGTGTATAGTACCAGACTGAGTCACAACATCGAACGTGGTTTTCGGTAATACAGTAGGGACTTGAGTCATCGGATCAGTCTGTGTGCTTGTGTTGTCAACTGATTGACGCATTGTTGCCTGAACCTTCTTGCCTACTAATGAAGGTGATTTTTCACTATGAATCACACTGACGTCTGCAGTATGGAATACTGGTCGTTCCTCTGGAATGGTCTGAACTGACTGTGCACAGTGTATAGTACCAGACTGAGTCACAACATCGAACGTGGTTTTCGGTAATACAGTAGGGACTTGAGTCATCGGATCAGTCTGTGTGCTTGTGTTGTCAACTGATTGACGCATTGTTGCCTGAACCTTCTTGCCTACTAATGAAGGTGATTTTTCACTATGAATCACACTGACGTCTGCAGTATGGAATACTGGTTGTTCTTCTAGAATAGTTTGTGTCGACTGTGTCTTGACTACCATCCCTGATTGTGCTTGTATATCAAATGTTTTTATATTGACCTTCAGCCATTCTGCTTGTGTTTGCTTATGTGCAACTTGCGGAGCTCGAGAAAACACCTGTGCAACGGGTTTGACAGGTTGTACGCTTACCTCTTCGGTTTGCAAACACACATCGTCAGATGGATGGTATACCACAGCTTGAAGTTTCTTGTTTACTGTTTGTACATGATGTGACTCATGAAATACACTCACATGCTTTATATCTGGGATTATTTTCTGTTCGTGTGGTGTTTGTGTTTCTGAATCTATCGTCACTGATCCTGATTGTGTTTGGACGTCGAATAACTTTGGTGGCAAGATAACCGGTGGTGGTCTCTCTTCCATCGTCTGAGTCTCTGTGTTAATGGTGGTCGGTTGTACCATTGCTTGTAATTTTTTGTGTACAATTGGTTCTGGACGTTTCTCGTGTTGTGTAAGCAACTCTTTCATTTCAATTACTGGTCTACGTTCTTGTGGTGTTTGTGTTTCTGAATCTATCGTCACTGATCCTGATTGTGTTTGGACGTCGAATAACTTTGGTGGCAAGATAACCGGTGGTGGTCTCTCTTCCATCGTCTGAGTCTCTGTGTTAATGGTGGTCGGTTGTACCATTGCTTGTAATTTTTTGTGTACAATTGGTTCTGGACGTTTCTCGTGTTGTGTAATCATGTCTTTCATTTCGACGACGGGTCTGTGTTCACCTGGCGTTTGTGCTGCCTGTGACTTAAGCATACTTCCAAACTGAGTCTGAACATCGTATGTTTTCAATTTGAATGACGTAAATGATTGTTCATCTTTTAATGTCACTCGCTCAGTTTGTGTCGGTGTTTCTTGTGTTTGTGGTTCATGATGCGTAGTTTTCACCATGGACATGACAACAGGTTGTGCTAATAAATCTGTTTGTGTAGCTATGTTTTCAAGTGGTGGGACGACTGTAGCCTGTAACTTCTTGGGAATTGATTGAACAGGTTTTGTTTCTTGATGTACAGTTGCATCTTTAGTCGCGACCACTGGCCTACGTTCTAGTGGTGTTTGTGTTTCTGAATCTATCGTCACTGATCCTGATTGTGTTTGGACGTCGAATAACTTTGGTGGCAAGATAACCGGTGGTGGTCTCTCTTCCATCGTCTGAGTCTCTGTGTTAATGGTGGTCGGTTGTACCATTGCTTGTAATTTTTTGTGTACAATTGGTTCTGGACGTTTCTCGTGTTGTGTAAGCAACTCTTTCATTTCGATTACTGGTCTATGTTCTTGTGGTGTTTGTGTTTCTGAATCTTTCGTCACTGATCCTGATTGTGTTTGGACGTCGAATAACTTTGGTGGCAAGATAACCGGTGGTGGTCTCTCTTCCATCGTCTGAGTCTCTGTGTTAATGGTGGTCGGTTGTACCATTGCTTGTAATTTTTTGTGTACAATTGGTTCTGGACGTTTCTCGTGTTGTGTAAGCAACTCTTTCATTTCAATTACTGGTCTACGTTCTTGTGGTGTTTGTGTTTCTGAATCTATCGTCACTGATCCTGATTGTGTTTGGACGTCGAATAACTTTGGTGGCAAGATAACCGGTGGTGGTCTCTCTTCCATCGTCTGAGTCTCTGTGTTAATGGTGGTCGGTTGTACCATTGCTTGTAATTTTTTGTGTACAATTGGTTCTGGACGTTTCTCGTGTTGTGTAATCATGTCTTTCATTTCGACGACGAGTCTGTGTTCACCTGGCGTTTGTGCTGCCTGTGACTTAAGCATACTTCCAAACTGAGTCTGAACATCGTATGTTTTCAATTTGAATGACGTAAATGATTGTTCATCTTTTAATGTCGCTCGCTCAGTTTGTGTCGGTGTTTCTTGTGTTTGTGGTTCATGATGCGTAGTTTTCACCATGGGCATGACAACAGGTTGTGCTAATAAATCTGTTTGTGTAGCTATGTTTTCAAGTGGTGGGACGACTGTAGCCTGTAACTTCTTGGGAATTGATTGAACAGGTTTTGTTTCTTGATGTACACTTGCATCTTTAGTCGCGACCACTGGCCTACGTTCTAGTGGTGTTTGTGTTTCTGAATCTATCGTCACTGATCCTGATTGTGTTTGGACGTCGAATAACTTTGGTGGCAAGATAACCGGTGGTGGTCTCTCTTCCATCGTCTGAGTCTCTGTGTTAATGGTGGTCGGTTGTACCATTGCTTGTAATTTTTTGTGTACAATTGGTTCTGGACGTTTCTCGTGTTGTGTAAGCAACTCTTTCATTTCGATTACTGGTCTATGTTCTTGTGGTGTTTGTGTTTCTGAATCTTTCGTCACTGATCCTGATTGTGTTTGGACGTCGAATAACTTTGGTGGCAAGATAACCGGTGGTGGTCTCTCTTCCATCGTCTGAGTCTCTGTGTTAATGGTGGTCGGTTGTACCATTGCTTGTAATTTTTTGTGTACAATTGGTTCTGGACGTTTCTCGTGTTGTGTAAGCAACTCTTTCATTTCAATTACTGGTCTACGTTCTTGTGGTGTTTGTGTTTCTGAATCTATCGTCACTGATCCTGATTGTGTTTGGACGTCGAATAACTTTGGTGGCAAGATAACCGGTGGTGGTCTCTCTTCCATCGTCTGAGTCTCTGTGTTAATGGTGGTCGGTTGTACCATTGCTTGTAATTTTTTGTGTACAATTGGTTCTGGACGTTTCTCGTGTTGTGTAAGCAACTCTTTCATTTCAATTACTGGTCTACGTTCTTGTGGTGTTTGTGTTTCTGAATCTATCGTCACTGATCCTGATTGTGTTTGGACGTCGAATAACTTTGGTGGCAAGATAACCGGTGGTGGTCTCTCTTCCATCGTCTGAGTCTCTGTGTTAATGGTGGTCGGTTGTACCATTGCTTGTAATTTTTTGTGTACAATTGGTTCTGGACGTTTCTCGTGTTGTGTAATCATGTCTTTCATTTCGACGACGGGTCTGTGTTCACCTGGCGTTTGTGCTGCCTGTGACTTAAGCATACTTCCAAACTGAGTCTGAACATCGTATGTTTTCAATTTGAATGACGTAAATGATTGTTCATCTTTTAATGTCGCTCGCTCAGTTTGTGTCGGTGTTTCTTGTGTTTGTGGTTCATGTTGCGTAGTTTGCACCACTCTGAATTCCATTTCGTGCTGCATTCCAGTTGATCGTTTATCTGTTGTTGGCTTGTAATCTAATAATGTCTGGAATGCTTGGGAAATATTTATCGTCCCTGACTGTGTTTGGACGTCATAATTTTTACTTCTTATTCGAGTGAACGTTTGTTGGCTCCTCATTTTTACTTCAGCTTCTGGTGAACTTTCTATGGTTTGTGTTTCTTTTGAACTACATTTAACGAATGTTTCGACGTCTTTATCTTTTGTTAATATACCGAATTGAGTCGTTACCTCAAATGTTTCTTTCTGTTTCGCCCTCACCAAGTTCGTCGATATTAAATTTTCTCTAGTTATCTCTTCTGTTTGCATATTTATATGTTTAAATGCCTGTTTGATATCTGCCTGTACTTGTCTGCTTTGACAATCTGTGTTTGGTGGCACTTGGTATGAACCTAGGTGCCTTACAGCACCTTCTGGTCTTGGATCTACTCCCACTGAAATAATTGAAGGAATCTCTGACTGTGTGGATACTTCATGGTTTACCTGACCAACCTGACATATAACATCGTTGACAGCCTTCGACACAAACTTCGGTTCCACTCGGAATCCCATATCTGTCTGAATCTCCTTAGTGTATGTTGGTGTTTTGGCACTTTGAGTTCCCGCTAGTAACATTGAAGTTTTATGAGGTTCATCTATCTGGATCCCTGAAGATTCCATAACACTTCCTACTTGACATACTACATCGGACGATGGTTTGCGTAACATATGCTTAATTAAGTCGGCCTGTTGGTAGGCATCTACGGTTTCTTTGTACGATGTTATCGGTACATCCTGTGTTTCTATTGGCTTCACATACACCGGTTGTTCTTGTATTAGTTCAGCTTGTGTTATTTTCGATGTATGGACAATCCCTGTTTGTGTGACGACATCGTTGGCCATCTTCTTTTCCCACACGTGAATCGGGTCAATGCCAGTATCCTTGTATGCTGGTCTAGCAGTGACATGTTCAACTGACTGTGTGGATACTTCATGGTTTACCTGACCAACCTGACATATAACATCGTTGACAGCCTTCGACACAAACTTCGGTTCCACTCGGAATCCCATATCTGTCTGAATCTCCTTAGTGTATGTTGGTGTTTTGGCACTTTGAGTTCCCGCTAGTAACATTGAAGTTTTATGAGGTTCATCTATCTGGATCCCTGAAGATTCCATAACACTTCCTACTTGACATACTACATCGGACGATGGTTTGCGTAACATATGCTTAATTAAGTCGGCCTGTTGGTAGGCATCTACGGTTTCTTTGTACGATGTTATCGGTACATCCTGTGTTTCTATTGGCTTCACATACACCGGTTGTTCTTGTATTAGTTCAGCTTGTGTTATTTTCGATGTATGGACAATCCCTGTTTGTGTGACGACATCGTTGGCCATCTTCTTTTCCCATACGTGAATCGGGTCAATGCCAGTATCCTTGTATGCTGGTCTAGCAGTGACATGTTCAACTGACTGTGTGGATACTTCATGGTTTACCTGACCAACCTGACATATAACATCGTTGACAGCCTTCGACACAAACTTCGGTTCCACTCGGAATCCCATATCTGTCTGAATCTCCTTAGTGTATGTTGGTGTTTTGGCACTTTGAGTTCCCGCTAGTAACATTGAAGTTTTATGAGGTTCATCTATCTGGATCCCTGAAGATTCCATAACACTTCCTACTTGACATACTACATCGGACGATGGTTTGCGTAACATATGCTTAATTAAGTCGGCCTGTTGGTAGGCATCTACGGTTTCTTTGTACGATGTTATCGGTACATCCTGTGTTTCTATTGGCTTCACATACACCGGTTGTTCTTGTATTAGTTCAGCTTGTGTTATTTTCGATGTATGGACAATCCCTGTTTGTGTGACGACATCGTTGGCCATCTTCTTTTCCCATACGTGAATCGGGTCAATGCCAGTATCCTTGTATGCTGGTCTAGCAGTGACATGTTCAACTGACTGTGTGGATACTTCATGGTTTACCTGACCAACCTGACATATAACATCGTTGACAGCCTTCGACACAAACTTCGGTTCCACTCGGAATCCCATATCTGTCTGAATCTCCTTAGTGTATGTTGGTGTTTTGGCACTTTGAGTTCCCGCTAGTAACATTGAAGTTTTATGAGGTTCATCTATCTGGATCCCTGAAGATTCCATAACACTTCCTACTTGACATACTACATCGGACGATGGTTTGCGTAACATATGCTTAATTAAGTCGGCCTGTTGGTAGGCATCTACGGTTTCTTTGTACGATGTTATCGGTACATCCTGTGTTTCTATTGGCTTCACATACACCGGTTGTTCTTGTATTAGTTCAGCTTGTGTTATTTTCGATGTATGGACAATCCCTGTTTGTGTGACGACATCGTTGGCCATCTTCTTTTCCCATACGTGAATCGGGTCAATGCCAGTATCCTTGTATGCTGGTCTAGCAGTGACATGTTCAACTGACTGTGTGGATACTTCATGGTTTACCTGACCAACCTGACATATAACATCGTTGACAGCCTTCGACACAAACTTCGGTTCCACTCGGAATCCCATATCTGTCTGAATCTCCTTAGTGTATGTTGGTGTTTTGGCACTTTGAGTTCCCGCTAGTAACATTGAAGTTTTATGAGGTTCATCTATCTGGATCCCTGAAGATTCCATAACACTTCCTACTTGACATACTACATCGGACGATGGTTTGCGTAACATATGCTTAATTAAGTCGGCCTGTTGGTAGGCATCTACGGTTTCTTTGTACGATGTTATCGGTACATCCTGTGTTTCTATTGGCTTCATATACACCGGTTGTTCTTGTATTAGTTCAGCTTGTGTTATTTTCGATGTATGGACAATCCCTGTTTGTGTGACGACATCGTTGGCCATCTTCTTTTCCCACACGTGAATCGGGTCAATGCCAGTATCCTTGTATGCTGGTCTAGCAGTGACATGTTCAACTGACTGTGTGGATACTTCATGGTTTACCTGACCAACCTGACATATAACATCGTTGACAGCCTTCGACACAAACTTCGGTTCCACTCGGAATCCCATATCTGTCTGAATCTCCTTAGTGTATGTTGGTGTTTTGGCACTTTGAGTTCCCGCTAGTAACATTGAAGTTTTATGAGGTTCATCTATCTGGATCCCTGAAGATTCCATAACACTTCCTACTTGACATACTACATCGGACGATGGTTTGCGTAACATATGCTTAGTTAAGTCGGCCTGTGTTGATTGTGCTATTTGAACCTTTCCTATTTGACACACTATATCACTTTTCTTCATATCTTGTCTTATCATTTGTTCATTACTGATGAGCATTGATGACATCTCCGTACTTGCGTTTATTGTTATCCTACCTATTTGACATGCGGCTTCAGTTGTTTTCACTGGGTGTTGCCATACCTTTTTGATTTCTGCTTGAACTCCAAGATTTTTCTTATTTCTTTCTGTATTCTCTATTTCTATTTGTGTTCCAATTGTTTGTGTAACCTGTCCTATTTGACAGATAGCATCTAGTACGCTGTATTTTCGTGCACCTTTTTGTGATTCAGGTACGTCCATTTTCACAACGGTTTCTGTGATGCTTTCCGACTGAGTGGAATTATTCTTAGTGATAACACCAGATTGAACTATCGCATCCAAAGTTGGCTTTTTAAGCGTTTGTTGCAGCTTGTAATGTTCTAATGTCTGACATGAAGCATTCGCTGTAATTTGACCTATTTGACATAATACTTCTTTAACTGAACGCTTAGGACTGTATCCATGATAGTCATCTTGTGTGCCTGCATCGACTTTTGAAACTCCAATTTGAGTTATTGCATTTCTTACTTGTTTTCTTTCAGGAATCGTCGCTGGCACAAATTGTCTTTTAGATACACATAAATCTATTTTATTACGACCACCATCACCGTCGTCATCAGAAATTTGAGTCCCTGATGTTTTGGTTGTAACACCGATTTGTGTAATAGCATCAAGTGCTGGGCATGGAATTGATTCTGATCTTGTTCTAGACGATAATCGTGATGTTTCTCTCACTATAGATTGAGGTGATCTTGCATCTATTGGATACATTTGATTATTACCTGTCCAATTGTCAGATATTGTACTAGATTTTAAACTAGAACTTATTCTAGAATTGGTTATACTAGAATCAACATTCGGTTCATGTTCATATCGGCTACTCCATCTTTTCACACGATTTATCAATTGATCCAACTGAGACTGACTCTCATGTTGTAACTGACTAAATAAAGAAACATAAGAAAAGTATAAAAATATAAACCATTATGACTACACATATGCTTGTTAAGACATTGTTAAAACATATATCACACAATTCTGATAAACTTCGTCTTCTCATTGCATTATTGGAATTTATCAAATGGACTAATTGTTTTAAATAAACCAGTATAGTATTTTAAAATAAATTGTAATTATGTAATGATCTTTCTTCGACCCTTTTTCAAATATAATTTGAACAACACATATAAGCGAACAATTGTTTTCAATTAGATCGTCATCAGACTTTACTCTAATATACATGAATATTTATACGAAAATTTTAAACCAATCAAGGCAATATGGGTTAACAATCACAATGAAATTTTCCGCCTCTTGCCGTTTGTATTCTTCACTATCTAATTATTAACACACTTTTTATTACGTAATGATTTTAATCTTTTGTGATTACTATTCCTAGTCTATTTACCCATGTTTGACCTTCTATTCCCAACGTTTAACTATTGGTAAGAGTTTTGTTATTGTATTTTATTATTCTCACTATTATCAGTTCACCTGTCTTCCTACTATAAACTTGTATTTTTACCTATTATGTGTGGTGACATTCTATTTCCTTGTGATTATTGACTCATATTGCCTTGATTGGTTTAAAATTTTCGTATAAATATTCATGTATATTAGAGTAAAGCCTGATGACGATCTAATTGAAAACAATTGTTCGCTTATATGTGTTGTTCTAATTTCCACAATGGGAATCTTCAATATTCTAAAACATAATTTGAACAATTCTGATTCAGCAATTTTAATAATGTTTTAGCTGATTTTATTTCAATCTCTATTTCCTTTTTTCTAACCTTTTGACGTACTTCCCATTAAAATACATTGATCTAAGCCTTTATTATTTTTTAATCCAAGTAAATCGCCTAATTTGGAATTTGATAGTAAAACGAACAAATGGTTATCACCATGTACTGATAACAGTTCATTATTATCTATCTGTTCACATTGATATTGAAGTTATTCCACAGTATAAAGTAAACTAATCAATCCACAATCCTATGCTGATAATTGTTAATATGCACACTCGTGACTAACTCTGAGAGGTAATTCCGTGGTCTTAGTGAGAAGCTGTGACCAGTGAAGCTAATCCGTGTAGAGTGTGTAGTAGTTACTCACCGAAGACAGTGGAAAGTGGTCGCGCAATGTCGTAAATTTATTGGAGTTAGACATCCACACTGTTGGACTGAGACTCAGTGGTCTGGAGGTTAGGTGTTTGCACACGAGACCGAAGGTCTAGGGTTAAATTTCCGCGTTCGTGGTCGCAGATACACACTTCTGAGGATCCTCATACTAGGATGAAACATTGGTCCAGTGCTTCCAAGTTTCCGATACTGGTCTAAGTCAGTCAGCTACAACGTAGGACCAGGCACATTTGCTGGCCTAACTTATATTGGTTATTACTTTGAATTAGAGTATATAATGAAATGAATAAATCATTAGTTTGTAAAATTCTGATTAAGAGCAGTGGAATATTTAACTTATACTCTGGTAAAAGATGAGTCACAAAAATCCAGTAAAATTACAACTCAAACAAAATGGACACATCTTACATAACGTGAAGTTAGTTGGTTGGCACATGATTATGTTAAAGAATAAAAAGTGGTGAAGAATTGGAAGTAATATGTTACAAATAGTGAGAACGAATAAAGTATATCGTGGAAATAATCAGATTTCAGCGCGAAATTCGTTCTTGCACTACAGCTGATCAGAATTGGTTACGTGTTCATGAATTTTTATTACATCTCAATATTTAATATGTGTTTGATATTTAGCACTTTCCTGCTCAGTTAGTTAGTGAACGATATATGTAACAGTATAATTTTCATTGCGGATTTGATTTCAAATACTAATCTGTAGTTTATTGGCTCGTTTCATCCACTAAGTTGGGATACATCACAATAGCGTGTTCACAAATGATATAAGTTAGTAATTTTAGACGATTAGAATGAAGTCTCTAATGAAAATTACAGTCTTATATGAAGTATTGATACGCTAAATGAACGGGAAAGTAATCGGAAATGCTAGATATGGCACTTTTATTGAACATTGATAGAGGATAGTTGTCTTCACATAGCTGAGAGCATTTCCTCATGAAACCTAGTAATTCATATGTAAGGGTAGGGTACTCATGTTAAAACTTTATCAATTACAAGTATACTACATTTTTTATCATAAATCATTTTATAACCAAACACTTTCCTCGGCTGGAAAGTGGTTCAAGGTTATCTGTATAATTTACTTCCACTAGATAATGAATACTTTATCGTTTTAAGGTATAAATACTAAAGTTTGACTTGATAATTTTGAAAAAGCTGAGTACTGAGTGGATCGTTATTAATAAAAATAATATATTTGTAATAACCCAATAAATATAAAAATTAGATTTTCTGACATTTCGTGACTCAGTGTAAGCCACTTCGGAGAATGAATAACTAAGTCAAAATTAATCCAAGTTTAGATCGTACAGAGGAACAACGTTAGAAAAACTAATTTTTCTACCCATTGGGATTGTTATGACGGGTGTGACTGCAGGTTTTGATAAGTAGCATCCACAACAGGGATATTACAAATATGTTATTTCATTTACTTCGTCGTTTTATTCTTGTGTTTATTGTGTCTTCGTAACTTAGCCCGACTATGCTATACTGACGGCCCTGAGTGGCTAATCAAAATAAGTCTAATCCATGCGCAAATTAAAAACGCCATTACGGATAGGTTGTTACCAAAACTCATGACCTCCATTATATTTTTTTTATTTCGAAAGGATTGGATGATGGTTTCCTTGGGGAATGAACTGTTAAGGTCAGAATGTTTGGGTTACGGATTGTAGGATTTGAACTCAGGATTAAGGCTAGGAGTATTAGTGTTAAGGAGCTTTTGGGTTATGAGTTAGGTTTGAAAAGATAAGGAGCCAAGAATTATGTTCTAAACTGATTACAAAACCATGATATCCAGCCTGAATGATCGATATTAAGCACTATAAGTTCATTAATGATTTAGAAACTCTTAACCCTCTGTATTTCTATTTTTTTCTATATTTCCAAGCTCCTACCCGGGACCTGCATTCTGATTGGCTGTTCTTAAGGCTATCCGTAAATATACTGAAGTTCGTTTGCATGGGACAGACTTGCCACTTATTTTCTTCACCTTATCATGTCTATCTGACAGTAGTAGAGTAGGCATTGTAAAAAAACCTACAGTGGAGCTAATCTGTGTCGGGTAGAGTCAGGTGTCTACCTCGTTACAATGGAAGATGGTTGCGTAATTTCGTGGATTGGTTGAGGTTAGACATTAACACCACTTGATACCGGCCCAATGGTCCAGTAGGTTAAGCGTCCACGCGCGAAACTGAAGGCCCTGGGTTCGAATCCCGCGGGTGGGATCGTGGATGCGCACTGCTGGAGAGTCCCACAATAGGACGAAACGGCCGTCCAGTGCTTCCAGGTTTTCAATGGTGGTCTAACATCAATCGGTTCATGATCTCAATTAAAAATAAATACAATTGTTGTCATTAATTTACATCATTATCATCCCAAATGAACCTGTATATATTTAAGTCTGTTGAGCCCATTAATTAACCTATTAGGCAGATAGACAGTGCCATTTTGATATGCATTAAGTCACCTGTATTCTCTATACATATCTCTTCATGCAACCGATGAGCAGAAGTAAAAGCTACGCATTTATTTCTTTTACTTGCTTAAATGTTAGTTGCTTAAAGCTCTTGATGGATCACCCGTATATTCCTATATATTTTAGCTTGTTAAATCACATTAATTTCTTCGTTAATTAATCAATTTCCCTCTTCCTATCATTTACTTGCCGATCGTTATGTCTGGAATAAACTGTTCCCACAACTTCATTCCGACTTTTGGAGACCACACATCATTAAGAATTATAGTAATAACGGTTATCAAGTCGATTAATATATGAAGTATAAGGATAGTAGCGGATATTCGACAACAAATTGTACAGTAACGGAAATTTTTGAAAATGAAGAACCTATTGGGGCAATAATTAGTTTTCACATTTGTTAACCTATCTTAAAGGATCAATGATCATAGAACTTGTTTTATGTGGGAAAAAAATTATACCAGAAATCATAAGTTTTGAGATCAATCGATTCTATAATGATAACATGTTATATTGATTGATGACTTCATACAGTGACGAAAGCTGTAAACTTTCAATTATTACTTTATAACTATGATTGACTTAGATAGCTTTGGATTTCATGGCAAAATGAGATTAATGATGTGCCTTCTTCAACTGCCAAATATGCTACAAATTATGTCCAATCATGTCTTTGAAAAAAACTTTTTAATTCAGGTTAGGAGTTTCTTGAATCTTTATCAATTATGAACACATTGTTAGTATAGTCTGAATTTATATACATGTTCGATAGCTTCCATCACAGAATACCATCGTCTGTAGAATAAAGTGAGAATCAGAGAGCGCTGGACAACTATCTTTACTCATTTCGGGACTGCACGTCAATTTGCACACAACCGTACACAGAATCGATCCTATGATTTTGAGGTGACTACAAACCCATTGGGCTATTAAGTTCAAAGCCACTGTCCCGTAGTTCCAACTTCAATTAATTCATGATGTATGATACGATACTCATTAAATTCCATAAGTGACAACCACCTCACTGGTGTGTGTTTTGAGAAAACAAAGAAAAAAATAATCCCAACAATTATTGAAAATTAACTAACTCTATCAACGATAATTCATGATCAACTCGTTTTTGATCTGCATCGATTTCACGTAAATAATTTGTCATATGAGTTCCAGCCAGTTCAGATTGTGCACGTAAATGGTCCATTTGCCGTTCATGATCACGTAGTCTTAACAATGGACTATGCATACAAACAATATCTTGTTCTCTTAAAACTACTCCGCCATGTGAACTACGTTGTCGACTAACTAATAAAGAAAAAGCAGTAAACAGAAAAAAAAAACATTTTAATAAGCAATCTTATCATAAGCAATCAGTGAAAAGGCCTATACGAAAGTATTCATTGAATATAGTGTAAACTATTCACTATGCTATAGGTATCAATGTCAAAGCTAGACTTGATAGTTTCAAATAAATTACGCATTGGATAGAAAGTTATTGATACACATATGTTTTGTTATATTCCAATAAGTAGGAAATCGTATTTTCGAAGTTTCGTGACTTAATGTAAGCGACTTCTTCAGAGTCGATAAATAACCGAATTACTCTGAATAAGTGGCTTACACTAAGTCATGGAACGTCAAAAATACAAATTTCCTACTCATTGGGACATAACAAAAATATATTTATTATTCACCATACTCTTAGAAATGTAAGTAGTATGTTACGTTTTAGTTAATTTATGTCGTATACCACTATCTCGCCTAATAGTCTGAAAGGGTGGGCGGCCTATGCTCCTCCACGAGGAGTAACAGGCGCAAGTAAGTAATGGTCAGAAAACAGCTTAAATAACTTAAGTTACGTGATTGATTCGAGTATATTACTAATGATTTAGACCTGATAAACTGAAGAGATTTGTTCTTTGCTCAGATTAGATTAGTATTACTACTAATTACGAAATATTTGAACGAATTTTCACCGTAATACTACAAATATCTCAAAAAGCGTCAGTTCGAATGTTGCGCTCAAGCTAGTTACCTTTAGTATTTGATAACTCTCTCTACTTATAATGTTGAATAGATCACGTGACCATAATTTACACTTGATCGACCGAATAGCACAAATCATCATGCGAGGACGATCTAAATTATCTTAACAATATGGTGGAATAAAATGTCTTTAAAACAGAATAGTCATCTTATGTATAGGTGTTCAATCGACAGCACTCACTTTAACCCTCGAACTAATAAAACTTCAGTTTATACCAACTCTGCGTCAACATTTATATTTAAAATCAAATAAATATTGTCACAACTAAATACGTCTGTCTGTTGATTTTTATGACGCTTCGTCACGTATGCTTACCTGTAGATGACTTAATTTTTTTTCTATGCAGCAACTTAATTAAGGTCTGCCCTGATATTTTATTGAATAGTAAGTATGGATCATCTATTGTTAATCCCACCAATATATTACCTTGTTTATATAAGATGGGTTAACAGATAAATTTCCCGGCTTAGTTTACC